TACGGGCACAAATGACTATTATATCTGTTAATAACTCAATAAGGTCTGCAAACTGGCATTACTAAAATTTCGATAGCGATTGATCAATTTGTGGTGTTCCCTCGTGAGCTGCGCGAACAGTTCAGTTCAGCTCAGCTTTGTTTGTCGAACAGCTCATCAGCTCGGAACTTTTCCCGAACTGTCGTACCTCTAGACTAAAGTGTATATGTGAGTTTCACATTCCAGCCTCAAAGGGCTGCACTAACAAGCTTTTTGTGTACTCAAAAAGTGAGTACACTGTAGAATCGGTCAGTGTGCCCGTCCGGCCGGCCGTTTACACGATAACTTTTGAAAAGAGAGTTCGCTCGCGATGAAATTTTCTACACAGTTTAGTCTCAACAGTATCTCGGTCGAGTTCGAAGATGAGAATGATTGGCAGAGCCATTGCTGAGTTATGGCAAAAATAGTCATTTTCCCCTATGCTTCCCTATGAGAAGATCGACCTATCTCCGCTTTCGTAAAAAATTTTTCCTATCGTAGTCAAATAAAACCCCAACTATTGTATACCATTGGATAGAGAATTTCACGAGCTACAAAATGGTATATAAAACATAAGGAAAGAAGAAAGCCAACTCAGCCATTGCAAAGATAATTAAACGAAATTCGGTTCTGTTTCTGTCCACAGTCTAATTGATCCACAATTAGAGCTCTATCTTCCGATCACAGAGATAATAGTTCGAGGTTTTCTGGGATGGAGAACTCGAATCTGTACTCCACTTGCCTCGAAATACCATTGGTTGAGCAGGGACCAATAGAAATCAAGTTATGAGGAAAACGACTTTCTTAGGGTAATTCAATGCGAAGAGTTCAAATCTGAGCTGCATTCGTCCCTAAATCCTATTGGTTGAGCAGTAGCCAATAGAATTCATGTGTTTATGGAAAAGGTTTGCGAGGATAATTTTGATGCCCACACATTCTAGGATGACTCATCTGTCTAATTCACTTTTTGAAGTACACATAACTCTCGGATTTAAATCCGAGGTTTCCACATTTATTTAGTTAAGAATAGCTACTCCTACCTAAGAGAGCATGTTTATAATTGGATTACCATTTTTGAGAGCTCTTGGATGTATTCTACTGATCATTACCTTTCTTCATTTAAAATTAAAAAGTCAAAAAAAAAAAAGAATTTATCATGCCTTTCATTTTGAGACGCTCTTCGATGTCAAAAGTGCATTAAATATATAGAATACGAATCGACAGAGAATTGCTGGTTTTCAAATGAGTTAGTTTTGGTCCCTGCTTGATGAGTCTCTCGATCAAAAGTCGTTCTAGAGTCTCCACAATGATCCTGGCGTATATAAAACATTTCACGGTATTTGGATGTATCTTGTGAGAAATGAGTTTTGTTTATGAACGGGAAGGAAAAGGTGATCTTAGCCAATGTAGTCTTATGCGAATACACTTAAATTACGTAGGTATGATTGTTTCTAACACTTTTAGTGACACTGGCCTACAAGTGAGTTTATCACCGAAATACATCATGACATCATTGGCGTTTGCGAATCAAATTATTATGTTTTCTTTCGGTTCATTTCACCTGATTTTGGGACTTATACGCTTTGTCATGCAAGTGTTTATTTTAACAACTGTGCCCTATTATCGAAAAACTCCGTGTACATTCTATTTTATTATTGCTAGCATACACGAATGTGGGCAGTTTATAACTTCCAGTGGTCCCCTTGTGGTTGCTGCATTTTCTGAATATTGACATGATGCGTATTTCTGTCGTTTGGTGCAAACTTCATTTTTTTTTGCTACAAGTTTCGGTGCCATTCCTTTGATTTGTACATGTTTGAGTACTATCGATCAGTATCTAACAACATCAAGAAATAACCGATTTCGTCAATTGAGCAATATTAAAAATGTATATCGAGCTTTTTTCTTCGTTATTATCATCTGGTGGCTTCATGGTACACTATACATATATTATCAGGAAATGCCACCAATCACAGGTGATTGTATTTATCGGAGTAAAGCGTTTTTTGCATATGCAATATTTTTCCTCTGTGTTGTTCTCTGTGGTATGCATATTCTAATTATGACGGTATTTGGAAGTTTAGCTTATCGAAATATGAAAACCATAACTGCTTTGTCGCGTTTACGTGCTGATCGACAATTGACAATTCTAGTGTTTATCCAAATCTTTCTTACCTTAATAGGTCTTAGTCCATACGGTATTTATACTGCTTATAAGATTATTACGATAAATGTTCAAAAGACTACAGATCAATAAACCAAGGAAGCTCTCGCAGGAAACATCACGTATCTTCTTGGTTCACTCACCTATGAAGTAAGTGTTTTATTTAAACAACAATGTTCATTTCTTGTCTTGTATTTTTAGGCACGATTCTATCTTTTCTTGCTTTCGTCGCGTCGTTTCCGTCGTATGGTGAAGAATCAAATCTTATGGTGGTGACGACAACGTCGGACTGTTCCTTTGCCAGGATGATTCTCATGCTTATTCATGATCTTGTTTTCTGACCTTTTGACTGATGATCGGTTATTTGTAATTCATTCAAAAAGTGTTCGAGCGTCATGATATACTTGTCAGTAAAATCATTGATGCTTCATCATGACTTGTAATTATGCAAGTAATAAACAATCGGATGTGAGTGTGGGTGTTGATGTGGATGTGAATGGCCATAAACATATCATGACATTCACACGAACATCCACACCCGTACCTTAAGAAACACTCATTTCCTTGGGCTAAACCTTTCACAATATAGTAATATCATCAGATCTATTATTAAGGAAGATTCCAGACGGAGGAGAGCTTGGGTGTAGCTGTGACTGTGAGTATGGATTTAGAGAAACACCACATCCGTTCACATTTACATCGATAGTCCAGCGGAAGTGTACTTTTTTGGACTATTTTGGACTTAAGTTTGGTTGTTCGTCTTGCTTAGAGAGGAAAATGGAAAATCAATCAATTGTTAATCAATTTGATCATCATTCACAAATATTTCTCTTCTAACACTGTTGAGATATGAACATTTTTATATTTCAAATGACTCTACAGAAAACCCTGATTATTTTTTTTAGATTGTCGAAAATCTTAAAATTTCTTGTCAAAAACTTTTTTCTTCTCTTTGAAAAATGCATGAATTATAATAGAAACCTATAAGTGAGAAATTTTCATGATCTTAAGAGGAATAAATGAATCTGATGCCACATATCCTCTAAATTTAGAGGATGTTTTCACGTTTCCAAATAAAAGTAAAAACCTTGAAGTTCATATATTTTGATTGAATAGTAAAATTATATTTTTTTGTAGAACTCACGTATATTTCAGAAGAAAATAATGAGTGTAAGTGTAAATCGAGGTTTTACGGCTCTTCCACGCTCCCTTATGCCCCCTCCATTACAGACGGCAGAAACCAGGATTAATTAGTGGATCTTTGCATCAGCCTTATTTGCAACTTAATCCAATGCTTATAATAAAATTAGGATAGAAGCTAAAGAAGACATGTGAATTCGATATTTCAACTCCGAGAGGGCTGAGCTAACAAACTTGCTCCACGCTTCTAACTACCAAAATGTGACTCGTTTTATTACTAATTATTGCCATCGCTCCACTGCTTCAACAATTTGAAAGGCTAGTGCTATTCTTACAACGGCAATGACTAAATCTACTTTTAATACTATGGATTACAACAGTCTGGTTGATAGTAAATGTCATGTAGATGAAATTGCATTGTTCTTGGCGATAACGTGATATGTCTAAATGACATTGGCGTACGTCGACCAAATTACACTTTTAATGAAATTCGGTCTTGAATCAAAGCTAAAAGTAAAGGTGATATTATTTTTTCTTCTATTTAATCGGACATTTATGATTTTCAAATTGATCTCGAATCGTATATAATTACTTTGGGCATATGATTTATTTATGAAGTTTTTTGTATTTATGAGAATACAATACTCAGTAATTGATATAATGAAATAATAAAATAATAAAGTACATCGATAAATGCATTCGCTTACAACGAGACATTCAATTTGTTGCACGTTGGTCCAAAGATTGAAGATGATGGATTTCTAGAATCCATTGCTTTCTGAGTAATGTTTATGAATTCAAAAAAGAAAACTTTCTACAATCGACCTATTTTTGACTGATTGTTTTTTGTCATACACAAGTTTGGATAGAGTGATATATCTAGAAACCATCTTTTCAATGGCACACATGAGTCTTTAGTCATCTAATGTGACGAAAATCATGTGTCACTGATTTTTATGAAGAATTATTTTGACACTTAAAACTTTGATGGCATTCCTATTATTCTCATTCGATTTGAATGATGAGAAAAAAGAATACAGTCATTTGCCGTTAATCTGTTATCTTTAGATGAAAGATAACGATTGACATCGACTCTTCTTCACACATGTAACAATAGATAAATACCTTGTAAACTTTACTTATCTTTGATATTAACGGTACGCATACACACGTGATACTCTAATGAATTCAGAAAATTTTTCATCATCTTCTCTTCATGCACCTTAGTTCAACGCCAATTTCGGTTCACCATCATCATTGAATCAGGTCGTTGAATGATCGTCGTCTCCCTACACACAGCTATTGAATTAACAATGGATAATCAACAAACGAATGCTTTGTTTGCAACCAAAAAGTCATCTGTGATTAAAAAGAAACGTGCTAAGGAACGCTTATCACCCAATACCAACGCACGGTTCAATTCGGAACAATCGAACGAAGACCTACGCGAACGTCTCAAGTATCTACCATATGCACTTTTTCTCAATTTTTTTTTTTTGAGGGTGTGGGTATGGATGTGTGTGGAGGTTCCTCTCCTCATCAACGACACCCACAACCCACAACCCACATTCACACCCACACCCCACATTATCGATGGATGGATGCTGTCCTAGCTTGTTCTCAGCCAGAAAGAATTTTTCTTTATTACATTTATTTCTTCGAACATAGTAGAAATCTGTTAAATTTTCTTTTTTACATATTCGACATTATCTTTATATAATTGAATATGTGGATGATTAGCTGGTAATGAATCCTCTACTATTTTAAGAGCCCGCTCACAATGTAAGATAGCTTTCGAATGCTCTCCAATTTCAGAGAAAGCCATTCCAATATGGCCACAAGATGCAGCCAAACTCGGATGATTTGAAGGAAGAATTTTTTCACGAATTTCAAGTGCTTTCTGATGTAATAATAGTGCATTGGAATAGTCACCCATGTTTTCATACACGGAACCAATGTTGTTGTAAGAAGTAGCCAAGTCAGGATGATTGGACGGAAGAGTATTTTGGCGAATTTCTAATGCTTTTTGATGAAACGACAATGCATTAGAATAGTCATTCATGTGGTTATACACCAAACCAATGTTGTTGTAAGAAGTAGCCAAATCATGATGATTTGATGGAAGATTTTTCTGGCGAATTTTCAGCGCGTCTTGATGAAATAACAAGGCATTCGAATAGTCACCCATATTTTTGTATACTAAACCAATGTTGTCGTAAGACGAAGCCAAATCGTCATCCGTTGATGAGAGAACCTTCTTTTTGATTTCAATGGATTGCTGAAAATGAGCAATCGCATCTGTATATCTACCTTGACTATTCTTTATCACTCCAAGCCTATGATACATGAGTGCTTTTTCTTGATTAGTCGTTGTCTCATCAAGTAGGATATCGTATACTTCTTGGGCATTGTCGAACTTTCCAAGTTTAATTAACAACAAACCCAAACGATCCCATCCTTTCGCTTCCGAATAGATCTCTTCGCGCATATATTCAGTAAGTGCACGAATTTCTGGATCGCTATCATCGGTCAACACTAAATTGACTTGCCAGATACGATTATTTTCATCGATTTGTTGTATAAGTTCAATACGAAACTTAGAATGAGTGGAGAAGAGAATTTCTTCCCCTTCTTCGAAATGATTGGCGTCAGATATTTTCGCGAAAGGAATAGACGATACTGATGGATTAACAGTTATCACAAAGAGTACCCCAATTAGATCGGGATTGCTCTGATTAGACTCAGCAAATAAAAGAGATATTTGTCGATCAAGACTAGTCGACAAAAAGTTATTAAATGATAATAGACCACCTTGTGCCTTTAATATTTGATTAAAATCTGTTTGTAACATTCCTTGACCACGATAGACAATCAACGGATTTGAAAACGAATTTTCAGAGAATTGTTGAGCATGGAGCTTAGAGATACTATTGTGAAGATCTCGGATGAAGAATCCCATACTAATCATGAGATTTACTTCCATCGTGCGTAGTGATCGACTGAGCATCGAAAAAAGAAACGAGTCGGATGTATACCACCATATCGGGTCATGCTTATGATATTCTTGTTCAAGCTTGTTGACATTTTTCAGTTTGTAACCATCGTCTTTGAACAGCTCACGACAGTAAGAAATAAATTGATTAAAATGTTTTTCTTCGAAGTCAATGGTTAATAAGATTTCTTTTAAGATTTGTGTGTACATATATGATGGATCTAGTCGATCCAGATTTTGTCTATGACTTTCACTATTAGTGGAGACAGAACTAATGGTGACCAAATTCTTGTCATCTATGTCTGCAGGTTGTTGAAGTGCTTCACAGATTGAGGCAATATCGGTATATACACCATTTATTTTTGACCATTGTTTGACCAAATCTTCATGTTGAACTTGGTTCTCAACTAAAATATACATCTTATCGATTAGTGTAATGTCATGGGCGATAGGAACAACTGATTGAACGAAGGAATCAGAAATGATCATAACTATTTTCTCGTCTTGTAAGGTAGTTATGAAATCGATGCATTCATTCACATCACTAAATGAATATATCTTGTTGACCACTTCTTTTAATTTGTTGATGGTATGGATATAGTAGTCATTATTCTTGTCATTAATTTTGGTATCGAGCCACACCACTAGGAAGTTCTGAACTATGTCAGTAGAAGGAAGCTGTTGTCCTTTTATGGTTGTATCATCAGATGGCGTAGTAGTAGTAACAGCAGTAGTTGTTGTTGTCGTCGATTTTTGTGTTGTGTGCATAGTGTCCGTAGTTTTCAATCAATGAATAACAAAGAAAATGACTTGAACTTATTATATAGTATGTTGTAATTTTTATTTCTAGCCGCTTCTATTTATTTCTTTTTTGTTGTTGTTATGCGGGTTGGTTTTTTCCTTTTGCTTCACTGCAAAACACGTCACTATGCTGGTTCTATTTACCGTCGTCTATCGAGTCACAAAATAGCGAACAAGCGCAAAAAAAAATGTTTCATTATAACATTAGTGTATATATTACGCCACATGTTACTTTCTTTTTATGATTTTACACGTTTTCTCTCTCGTTCTTCGTATATTGTCATCAATGGTTTTATACTTAGAAACATAATAGTGTACATCGTTTTTTGCAAATGCATTAAAAAGTTTTATTTCCGTAGATGATTGTTATTGTTTTCAAGATTTGTTTTCTTCAAACGAAAAATAAATCAGTTTTAGCATAGGAGATAAACAATAGTTTTTTTTTCATGCATATTATCACAGATTTCTTAAGCAAAAGTCAAATGAAGCTACGCTTAATAATCTGTTTTAACAGTCAAAAATAACGTCTATGATATTCTTCTATGTTTTTCATATTATGTCGGTGTATTCCATTTCTACTTGCAAAATGAATTCATTTTTTATATTCACTCCGAACTATCGTTTCGAGAACATGCGGCAGCAATTTTCTCGAAAATAAAAATTCAATTACGAGCAATTGAATGATTTTATGTCTGTCATTTCCCTATATTTTGGTACAGGCAATCCATAATGATAACTGATCTTTCATAGAACGAAAACTTTGGAAGATATCCAAAATCGATATTTACTTTATAACAACGTCTCAATAAAAATTATACAATTCTCGAATCTTTAGATTATCACGATACAAAACATGATTTCAAGTTGTGTCGGGCGAGTGAGAAAAAAACTTGCCAAAGATTACTATACAATGCTTCGCATCGGGGAAAAACGTCTTTTTTTTTGTTTACTCCATAATCGAATAGTCTTTCTGTGTAAATTTCAGTATATTGTTGTATGAGAATGAACTAATAGATTTTACTCTTCTTGATAATATGTTAAGTTAATTGTACATTCAAAGGAAAAAAACTGAATGTTCTCGTTTGTTTTATATCAACGTCGTTAAAAACCATTATGATAACAAGAAAAAAATACAACAACGATTTAGCTCAATGAAAAATTGTTCTGTTGCTCAATTATTTATTTTTTTTTCTTTTGGTAAAAATTATTCTTATAAAGCTGGATGGTCTTCCCATCACTTAATTCTCTCAGACGTTATTATAAATGAAAAAGAGATTATTGTCCGCCAGGACGTAATGATGATAATTCAGCTTGGAGAATTTCATCTAGGGTGTGGGTGTGGGTGAGAACAACACACCCTCTTATTATTTAGTACTATTAAATCCCTTTTTTGATGCGCTTGAATTTGATATAAAACTTGTTGTTGATGCTATTTGAAATCATATCACTACCGTCTTGTAATAATATTATTTCCAACCTAGTACATTTGTCTGTGCAAGGAGACTTACACTGGTGAAAATTGCTTGATTTCAGACAAGAAGTGTGCCAATGGTTACTCCTCATCCAAAGTCTTATGTAAACCTAACTATGAAACCTTATTCACTAGGAACAATCTCCCACATTACATTTACCCGTTGAACCAAAACGATCAACAGTGTGAAATTGCTCACAATAAATGCACTTCAAATCCTTGTCAGAATGAAGATTTCTCTTTTTCAAGATCGCAAACTGGACGAGTTTTATGTTTTTTTAACTGATCAGCATCATGAAAAGAACGATAGATTAAAGAATTTAAGTGTCAAACTGTACATAAACGGACGTGCTAAGTACGTCGGTGCTGTTGTGCAATATTTTGACATTAGTTTTCATACTCTTGATTTGATTCTTTCATATCAGCAAGCTTTCAATACTCTTTCTGCCGTTCTTCAATATGTGCATGATAGCAGCAGACGGCACCGTTCATTATCCTAGTCAAACTGTACCCATCTTATCCTGATGCTGATTCTCACATCTGTTTGATTTCATTGCATTTTAACGTTAGGTCAATATGTAGAACGACTATTATTTTCTAAGAACTATAAATGATGGACAGATGCTAATTCGTCAAATATGAACTGATGAAAAGTAAGCTTGAAATTTCGAGCTCACGTCTTTTTAACTGATTTAATAAAATATTTTATAATTTTCAACCTTAAATATGAATTTCAAGCATTTGATCGTATGTTAATTTAAATGACACGCTTAGTTGTTTAAAGAGGGAAAAGCACAAAATATTCGAACATGTTTTACTATATAAATATAGGTAAGCTTGTTTTTTTTACTCTTAGCTTCATTTCTATACCACTCATTGCTAATATTGTCAAACATCTGGTAAATTTCAATAAGGTCATCAAAATTCAGTGGATCTATTTCATCTTCGCGAAAATATATTTTGTATATATTTGTTGTGACGAATTTTTGATCAAAATCGAAACTATTTTTGTATGCATTCATATTACAATATACTTTTCTTATTGAGTATCCATCGGTCACAGTGATCAGATACTTCGTTAACATGAAATTTGTTAATAATGTAAGAATAATTTTATTTTGTATAGTAGAAAATAATCAGTTTAAACGATTGTAAAAGAGATTAATTTTCAGAAAAACTAAATGTTATTAATTGACTTTTGAGCATTTTCATTCGCATACTATAGAGACATTGATAATGATAGATAAACAGAATGAAGAAGAACAGTATGTAACTCAAGACATCTTTTGATTATGATTCACTTCTGTTTATCAATATGATAAACTGTTTAACCTGTTGCTTTTATAAGGACGATTTTGTTCTCTATCTTCATAGTTACTATCTCTTTCGTGACTTTTACTTTCTTCTATATAAACACAAGCTGTGAAGATGAGAGATATAACTTGTAACATATAGACAACCAAATAGAATGATAGGACACCTTATATAGGCATTTTTCTTATCAAGTTTGTTGCACATAGTTTTTGTTCCTATTCATTCTTTCTTTTCGTTGAAGGTGTTATCAAGTGTATTTATGGCAACTTCATCTATTCAACGAATACTTGAACTTCGAGATGCATCTATTCCAAAGGATAGTTTGCTTGAACATTTACTTCCTGATTCATCTGTTCTTGATGTAACTAATATTCCACGAGAATGTGGTCTTTTATCAGATGATGAAATTACTATTACTGAACATTATTCAGCTACTCAACTCATTACTCAACTAGCTCAAGGTCAACTAACAGCTGAACAAGTTATTAAAGCTTATCTTAAACGAGCTGGTATTGCTCATCAATTAACTAATTGTGCAACAGAATTTCTTGATAAAGAAGCATTAGATCGAGCTAAATATTTAGATGAAGAATTTAAAAGACGAGGAGGACCTATAGGACCACTTCATGGTTTACCAATTTCTCTCAAGGATATGATAACTATGCGAGGACGACGGGTTAGTGCAGGATGGATAAAATGGATTAATAGAATTGCTGAAGATGATTCTCTTATTGTAAAGATTCTTTATGAAGCAGGTGCTATCTTCTATGTTCGTACTACTGAACCGCAAAGTCTTATGCATTTAGAATGTAGTAGTCCTGTTTATGGTACTACTCTGAATCCATTTAATCGAAATTTAACTTCTGGTGGAAGTACAGGTGGAGAAGGTGCTCTTCTTGCTCTAAAAGCTAGTCCAATGGGTATAGGAACTGATATTGGTGGAAGTATACGTTCACCAGCTGCTAATAATGGAGTTTATGGATTGAGACCAACTACTTTTCGTATACCACTACAAGGTTTGATGTTAGCTCAAATAGGAAGAGAAAGTATTATTGCTGTACTTGGTCCACTTGCTCGAAAAAGAGAAGATATTAATCTATTTATGAAAACAGTACTCGATACCGAACCATGGCTAAGAGATCCATCTCTTGTACCTATTCCTTGGAGATCGATTAGTTTAAATTCAAAAAATTTAACAATTGCTGTTATGTGGGATGATGGTATTGTACATCCTCATCCACCTATTATTCGAGCTCTTCATGAAACTGTAGAGCATTTAAAAAAATCTGGAATACGAGTTATTGATTGGGAACCAATTTATCATCAAAAAGGCTGGGATTTAATTAGTGCACTTTATCATTGTAATGGAGCTGAAGAAGAG